AGAATACTGACTTTAATCTTAGAATACTAACTTTAATCTCAAAATTCTGACTTTTTTTTTCTCAGAATACTGACTTTAATCTTAGAATACTAACTTTAATCTCAAAATTCTGACTTTTTTTTCCTCAGAATTCTGACTTTAATCTTAGAATACTAACTTTAATCTCAAAATTCTGACTTTTTTTTCTCAGAATTATGACTTTAATCTCAGAATTAGCCTATGACTTTTTCCCATATTAAACTGAAATAAAATTTAAGAATCAGTTAACTTTTTTATCTTTTATAGTGGCCCTAATCCTCACTTTATATATTAGCTAACATTATCTTTATATATATATATACAGTATATATATATATATATATATATATATATATATATATATATATATATATATATATATATATATATATATATATATATAAAATCTAAATCTTCTCCTATTGAAATTCTTATTGTGTTGTATTAAGAATTAAGTTTTCCATGCTATATTATTGTTTCATAACTTTCATGTTTCCATTTCTGCCTGGAAATAATTTCTCTCGAAAGTGCGAACAGAGTTAAAAAAGTTAAAAAGCCCCGCCCATTTTCCCTGGAGAGACGCTTTTCCTTCACATCCAGCATTTATCATGGAGCTGAATGAAGAACAACAGAAAGCTGCAGAGCTTGAACTGCGTCGCTGTCTGCCTCGATCATTAAAGGTCCGTTTGCTACAATTATGGTCACCACGTGGATTTATTTAACGAACATGCCTACACTTTGCAACCCACCTATTTCTGCTACCAGTCTTTGGATTAAAGCTGTGCGCCTTATTTTATTTCAACAGATTTATGGTTTCTTGGTCCTCAGAAACAGAGTGAAATCAGATCCATACGTTGTTCTAGTGGACAGATGGCCAGGGTTCAGTGTAATTATCTGCAAACCCAAGTATGAACAGGTAATAATAGTTTGAATAACTCCATGCAGACATTATTTCTGTGTTCCAGGACATAAAGTTCTGCACATCTGTCTTTGTTTCAGAAAAGTGATCTATTCAAAGACACAATGGTTTTTGCAAAGGATGAAGTCCTTCTCATGGAAACGATAAGGAAAACCTCTGTAATTGACTGGAGCAGGTATCTTTGTCTTGGTAAGAACGTATTTATCTTTATGGTTTAAGCTAAATCCTCCAGTTTGTGATCCGATGAACTCATTTTACTCCACGACTTCAAGTTAAAATGTTGCTTTAGACTTTATTGAGTCCAAAGTCCCCTTTCAGTTATTCACAGATATGAAGACAGCATCTGCATGGATCACAAAGTCTTTATGCCGTACTACACCTTAACTGTAAGAAACTTATTTTCTTATCAGTCTTCAAGAAGCCTTTTCATATTTACATTATGTTAAAATTCTCCACTTGTACATAGTATAGAAACAGTGCACCTGCAGGGACTGATGATTTAAATGAATCAACTGTGCTGTATTAAAAAAAAACAGAACCAGATGCTTCTTCCTTATTTCTCCTAATTTGCACAAATTCTCTTTTTCTGTTTTATTGACAAGCAATAAAGTCAGAGTAAAAATATGCTTCCTTATTTATAAGAGTGCCTTGCAAAATTATTCATACCCTATCACATTACAACCACAAACTTAATGTTTTTTATTTTCATATTATAATCCTTAGGAAAACGGCTTATTGTTGGGCCTGTCTCCATCAGCTCTGTATATCTAGAAACAAATATCTGACCAATATTTGATTTCTTATGGCAATTAACGGCCCTTCAATTTTTCCCTGACCTGTCTGAATTCACACATCTTCTCTAACAAACCAAGGTCTTTGCAGTGCAATACACCCAGATGGGCTCTGTTAACTGATTAGATTACTAAAGATAGCAATTGGACTTTAAGTATCCAGCATCATGTACAAATTCACACCTCAATCTAAATCTTATTCATAAAATACCCTGCATGTGTTCTTTTTTTGTACTTTTTTCTGTCAATATAATATTCCAGTAAAAACCATTGACATTTGTGTTTGAAAGGTGACAAACCATGCAATCCACTGCAGACAGATGTTATATTAATCTTATTTATGGAAAAAATGCACACCAGGTTTTACTCGAGCTGTGATTGCTTGTGTTATAGGGATCAGTCTTCCACACATGGAAATCATTAAATCAGCTGCATCAGAAAGGAATGTTCCCAGCTACAAACTGTCCATTTGTCACATGATGATCCTGGACGATGCATCCAAGCTACCCGCTATAGACTGGTACAACCAACTTTACAAAACACAAAAACAATGTATATAAAGTTATTAAAATAATGTCTTATTAACATAACAGAAACCTCTCTGAAATGTTTTTCCGTCTTTTGTGCATCAGCTCAGGGATCCGCCTGAACTCTCTGGATGAATCCCACATCGACTTGGTGAATCAGACATGGAAGTTTTCAAAGAACCAAGAGGCTGTTAGGATGATCCGCAACATGGTTACAAACTTCCCGTCCTGCTGCGTGATGGATGCCGAAGGAAAGCCTGTGTCCTGGATGTTGACCTATGTGTCCTGTGCCCTTGGAATGCTGTATACTTTGCCGGAGCACAGAGGGAAAGGCTACGCTAAAGTCCTGATTAGCAGCATGGCTAAGAAACTCATTGGTCAGGGATACCCGGTGTTCTGCTTCATAGAGGAGGAGAACAAAGTCTCCTACAAGCTCTTCAAAAGCATGGGCTTCTCAGAGGACCCCTCTTATAGAGAAGCGTGGTTTGGATTCAATCATTTATAAATGCTTCCATACAAGAACATCAACTTATATATTAGTTGAAACATAAAAAAAAAATCATAATTACAAGGTGTGAGCACATTATTTGCATTTGTTTCAAAAACAATAAGATCTGAGAATAAATAGAAAATAGAAAAAAGATTTCTAATTTTTTAGTTTCTATTTCAGGCTTCAGTTATCAAGCTGGAGCTTTGTCGCTGCTGATCTCTTGACACGTCTCACTTTTCAGGAGATGGACTTGATGAAGCACTTGATCTGAAAAAGAAAATGTGTATATATTACACTAGGAAAAATGAGATAAAGGAAAAACTATTACTTAATTCTGAATTTATCGCTCAGCGTTTGGACTTTTTGCCTTTTACAGTAGAATGATCAGACTTTTTTCCTCCCAGGAACCAAGAGGTGGACATTGAACAACAATCAATAAATTCAAAACCAAAGATTAGAGCAGATAATCCCTATCAAAGACACCTTTAATCCCTGTATTAGACCTCAAAGCATTAGTACAATCAAAGATGCTCAAAGCTTTTGTGGCTACTCTTTCCTTTTTTTTTATGCCCTTATGGTCCCCCAATAGCTTCATATTAAATATCCATTGGTGAGACAACAGGCTGGTCAGTGGTGCAGTGAGTAGCACTACTGCCTAGGTTCGATTCCCAGCCCGGGGTCTTTCTGCATGTAGTTTGCATGCGTGGGTTCTCTCCAGATTCTCCAGCTTCCTCCCACAGTCCAAAAACATGACTTAATTTAAGTTAATTGGCTTATCTAAATTCTCCTTAGATATGAGTGTGTGCGTGAATGATTGTTTGTCTCCGTCTTGCCCTGTGAAGGACTGGTGACCTGTCAAGGGTGTACCCCACCTCTCGCCCATAGACAGCTGGAGATAGGCACCAGCACCCCTGGTGAACCCGCTTGGGATAAGCGTGACAGAAAGTGGACGGACGGATGGATGGATGGATGGATGGATGGATGGATGGATGGATGGATGGATGGATGGATAGATAGTCAGACAACAGATGGGCAAAAAAAAAATAATTTTTACAATAAATATTTTGGTTTAGACTAAGAAATTACCTTTATTTTCAATATATTTCTTCATGTTTTTTTAAACTAAATGGCCACATGACATTTCCCGGTAAGCCTTCTGTCTAACCTTTAGACATCCCCTGTTTGTAATAGAACAGCACTTTGTCCTTTACTAGAACATTTCACAAGGTTCTTATTGAGACAATGTGATCTTTGACCAATACTGTGTTGATTCTCTATAGAATATGAGTCAACCATTCTCACCCAACAGGATTTGTTTAGGATTTAATCCTGTGGTCTAAAATAGCTATGAAACAGGGTTCACTCTGTATATAGTCGAACATTTCCATGTTGGTTTGGTCACATGTTTTGGATCCTTTTCCTGCTCAAATATCCCTGGATCATCACTTTGCAGTGGTGTTCAGAAAAACAAAGTCATCAATATTAGTATTAAATATGCCAGAAAAACTATGCAAACAGTGCCATAGGTCGTTCCCACATATTTGTCCTTGATTCTTGTTCCTGACAAACAGGAACAAGACTCTGGTGTAAAAACAGCTTTAAACTGATTCAGCAAGGACACCGATGGCTTTTAAAAGTGTTTCTTTGAAAGAAAAACAGGGCCACAGCATCACAGATTGCTCCCATGCATGAATGGACATGAGGTTCCTCTTTAATATTCCCTCTAATTTTTCATATGCCCAGGCATACACACAAGCCCCTGAGTACTCTGATCACTGTGAGAACATCTGATATGCACGCTGTATCCACCACCAATAATAAATGTGTTATAAACCCATGATCATAACAAGTTGCACTGTTAATTAAAAGAATATGTGATTACAGCAGCAGTTTGAATTGGTTTACTTTTAATTTAAGTGATTTGGCACAATTAAAATGAAAGAAACAAAATTGTTGCGCTTTTTCCACATGTCATCCTCACTTCTCCATTGGTTGTCCAAATATGCTACTTGAAGACAATTTCTGGATGCTGTAGATATTCATTAAACTAAATATTCTTTCAAATTCAGCACTGGATGATTGAAATGTAGCACAAATATCCACAAGCTGTGAGATCTCCTTTAAGTCCTCACATCAAGCTCAGCAGCCACTAGAATGTACTGATTGACCACTGTTTACTTTTTTGCTTCATTATGTACCGGTACTTGAATTTAGCTGAACAAAAGTGACATGGAGCAGATGCATTTTAAACGGATATCAGGGCTGTTACAAATTGGTGAGAGTTTCATTGTTCTGGCCTCCACATATTCTACTTCCTGTTGGGTTCTTTATTTAGGTGCATTTAGCTCTTTTAAGCACTGAATAAGGACATTTACTGATCTGTTCTTAAGGGACACTCATATCTTTTTAAACATGTTCATCCAAATACAACTCTTAAATGTATTAAAATGTATTAATAAAGCTCATTTGATAGTGATACTTGAAACTGGCATGGAAGATTAGATCATGTGCCAGAGCAGCTGATTTTAGTAAAGCAGGCTGGCACATGCAGCATGACCTGAGGTCATTTGTGATCATGATTAAAAGACAAGATGATCTAAGACCTCATAAACAGGTAGTTGTTTTTCATATTTTCATTGTTGGTTTTAAGTTAAAAATGATACATAAAAAATGTTATTGGCCTAATTGATTTACAGCTTGTTTTGAATTTTATTTTTTGTGCTACATGGATTTTCTTATGCACCGAAAATGTGCTAGCAGTGCACAATTGTGCAAGCGTGCAACGACATTTGTTCTGTTTTTCGCCACACTAAACATGTTTGATGCTGAAAAAGATCAGCTAAATCCCATAAAACCTTAGCAGTTTTAAGTGCATTTTCTACTAGGATTTAGCAAATTCAACACCAGTTTGATAGTGATTGTAGAAAAAAAAAAAAAAAATTTTCCCCCTGGCATCACACCCAAACTACATATATTTAAAGTTCATCAGGGCTCCAAATTAGGACACACTTTGTTAATAATAATTGTGAAAAGAGCAGAATAGAAGTGGAAAACTGAATTTAGAATATTCTACCTGGGTTACATAAAGACATAAATTTGTATGAACTGTGAAGTGTAGAAAAGATAAAAAAATTTTAACGGAACAAGAGAAATGCTCACTTTGTCATCGTGACAGTATTTTTTATGTAATTCCTCAGGGTCTGTCTGGTAGTTTGTCACTTTTCTGGTCTGTTCTCTAATAGTGAGCCATGGAGATTGCAAAATGGCGCCATGGATGACATCCATTGTGCTTCCCTTTCTTGCTTTTTATGAGATTTAAAATGTCTTCATTGAGAGAAAACTGAAACCAAAAGCAAATTTATGGTTCAGTGCACTAAGGTGAGAATTAACGCACATTCTGATCTGCTTTAACTTTCACCAGTGAGATTAATTTAAAAAGGGATTGCAGGGAATATCCATAATTGTGTAACCAGATTTTTAAATCTATTTTTATTTCTCGAAATGGGATTTATGGAAACAGGCTCAAATTAGAAGTAATTTTTATTTTATTTTTTAATCTCATGTTGAGGCAGGGTGCACATTCACATTCAGTTCAGCTTGCCTCTGTCCGTCAATCAGCCTAAACCCCCCCTTCTCATTCCGATCCTGGCGAATCTAATCAGTTTTCTGACCGATATGTTAACATGACACATTTTTAGTCTGATCAACCATTTATTCTGGCAAAGAAAATGTAAAAAAAAATTTAAAAAATCATTGCTACCTGGGTTCCCTGAAATCTTCAAGACGTAATAACCATGTTTTCCAGTACTCTGACATCAGCTCTGCGTTCACCTGGTGAGCATGAGCCGGTGTGCCATCTTTGTAGGCAACAACAATAAGCCCATTTTCAACCTGCAGTGACAAGAAAATAAAAACTGCTTTTTTTTTTTTGAAAGGACTCACAATTCAGAGAAAATAATGGGTATTTTACTACATTGATCACCTGGTATTTGTAGTTGTCATCACTGTTCAGAGCCCCAGCATATGCTGCTATTTGAAGAGGGTTGTCATAGGTGTTGCTGAGGAATGGTTTGGGTTTTTCCGAAGTTTTCCAATCTATAACACACAACACACCCCTGTGGAAAGGAGAACATTATGAGAGACATGAAGGTTAGAAGAAAAGTGAAAAAGTCAGTTTCGGAAAAGTTTTACTTGTAGCGAGCAACACAGTCCACAATTCCCAAGTAATTCAGGGCACTGTGCTGCACAGTGCTTTCAATGGCCCTCACTGCTCTGACGTCCTCTAATACGTGAGAGATGCTTTGGACGTATCCTTGTACTTCAGGAGGAAACTCTGATGTCTCCAAGAGATTCCCACTTTTCCATGTTTCGGCAGAGGTCAGAATGCCCTCCAGAGCTGCATGGAAATCTTTCCCTTGTTTGAAAAGATCTGGGCAAAAGACATGAAATTAGTTTCCAGTGCATTACACTCATTTGATTAGTAGTATTATTATTAAAGGATACACTGGTGACTAGGGCAGTATAACCATCGTTTCATAAGATTTTAGTGTTTATCTAATTATTAAATGCTTTCTAGATATAATGCTTTTAGCAGTAGCTGGGTTTCAGCTAGTGATGGATCCAGCTAGACTAATGCATCTGCGCATGAGTCTTGCTCTTAAAGTGAGCATTGTTTCATGACAATGTGTCATGTGTCAAACACAGGGGCCGTTTCCAACCTACGCACTAAACTATGTTTATAAGCTGAGCTCATCTGACAATGAGATCCATCTAGCTAAACAAATCTCTGATCTTTTGTGGTTTATTATCAAATCGGTCAGGAAATATAGAGCAGCTTCAATGCAAATGAAAGGTTTCAGGCGTGAGGGACTATGTTTATCTTATATTTGTTTTACTTTTTTTGTTATGTCCAGGGGCGGAGCTAGTTGGGGGGCCAGGGGTGGCCATAGCCACCCTTAGCCAATCAATGTCAACCCCAACCATTTTTTTTTTTTTACCTCTAATACAGATGGTGGCAGCAGTAATACACTCAAGTAGAATATTAATTTTCATTTTTCATGTATTACTTACTATTTTTTGATGTATTCATAACTTCTTGACAACAAAAACACTGTGGTTAATTATGTACATCAATATAGTAACATTAAAGATGATAAGTACAGAAATCATGCTCTTTTCAGAACAAAATTTGTGGTATATGAGTTCAAGAGAAGATCATGTGCCTCTGCAAGTCATCTAGGAGTCTTTTATAAATTACTATTTTAATAAAAACATATTAAATAATCAATTTATGTAAATATTAGTACTTGTAAATATCAATATTATGCAGAATGTTGTTGATAAAAGTAGGTAAGTAATGAAAAATGAAAAGATTCTCCCCAAAACTCAAACCTGAAAGAATTTTATTCACTATACCTTTTATCCAAAAAGCACGGATGTTTAAATATATGCTTTTAACAGTTAAAAAAGGCTTTAGGAAAGTATAGTCTTTGGCATGACCGGTCAATGTACATTGGTTATTGCCTGGCCACCCTTATAAAAACTTTCTGGCTACACCTCTGGTTATGTCATCCCGTTCCTCTTAGTTATCACTCTAGTTATCTGGATTTAAATTAAATTCAAACTGACTATAAGTTTACCGTATTTACTGTATTTTATTTATTTTTTTTTTATTCTAGTCCACAAGCACCCGAGGTCATCAAAGTATCAACACAGTATTAATACAGTTTGGCAATAAAAAAATGTGTCTTGATGCCTCATTATCCATCACTAGTGTCAGATTAGAAAAACAATGTTAATGTATTATTCTCTGTTCATTTTTTTTTTGGCCAAAAATATTTCAAAACACATGCATTTCTCTTTCTACCATAGAACCAAGTGTTTGGATCTCTGTCCACCCATTAAAAGAACCTTACTCTGGCTGTATGCCTTGAAGCCTTCCTCCCCAAGCTCAGCGATCATCCTCCTCTTCCATCTCTCCAGGTAGAAGCTCTGCTCTGGAGAAAGGGTCTGCTGAAGAATGCGAGTCACACTCGGGACAAACGGTCTCCCCTGTCCCCGATTTAACATAATCCGGGTTGGTGGTCCGGTCTCTGGATCCTCAGTTTCTATAGCTCGTTCAGAGTTTAAGAGAGAATAGAGTATTTTCGGTACCCTGGGTTCATTCCGTGAAGGCATCTGCGCTTTGACAACCGGTCCATACACCTGATCGTCTTCAGCCTGAAGGCTTTCTGGTGTCTGAGAGCTGATCCGGGAGGACATGACGGATTTTACAAGAGAGGAATAGCGCTCACTGTCCACAGAGCTGTAGGGACTGTTTTTCCTGGGGGATGTGAGGCGGTGAACAACGGAGAATTGACACACAGTGAGGGAGGTGCGTTCAGGGACCATGACGCCTCCACAGAACAAAACGCGGCTCAAAACGAACATTCTTGCGGTTTCAACACAACGGAAGCACAGAGCGATGGTATTAGTGACAAAAGAAGACGCGTAACTGGTAGTTTCGCGTTTTAAAGTAAAGTTTAGCACTGTTTTGGTTTGGGCACTTGTCTCGACATGTTCCAGCTAAAAGTCGCCCATGTAAACAGTCGCGTTTCTAAACGACGCGCCTGAAGCTGGAACTGAAACTGGTAGACGGGAAGTGAAGTTTCTGGAGTGGCTTCATGACAGCAAAGAGATACAGAAATAAACTACATTACCCAACTTGGAAGGGTGTAACCTTGAAACACGTCCCACTAGATGAATGGAGACCCGTGACTTCGTTCCTCAGCATAGATACTTATTGTCAAGTTATAGCCTGCTTATCAATATAATAATAATAATAATAATAATAATAATAATAATAATAATAATAATAATAATAATAATAATA